CTGACATTCTGATAAACTGTCAGTCAGTGTTTAATCTCCTGTGAAAAATAGCTACTGGTGTGTCCCTGAGGGGGTGTCTCTGCTCTCCTCCATTTGTCCACATTCCACTGCCTGTCACCAGCCCAGAATCTGCTGCGCTCACTACAGCTCATATTTAGCCTTATCCTCCTCCTCGCTCAGCTGTGAGCCTCGCTGTCTCTCTCCCTCCCGTCCTCTCTGTAATATCGTAATGCTAGGCGTCTGCCAGGGGTGTTAAAATCCGAGCATCATGATACACCAATCTGAAGGCGATTTATCCGCATCAGTGTTGGACTATTATGATCAATAGTTGATTATAATAACGTTCATAACATTGCACAAAATTCACTTATTTTTTTCTTGCCAACATAAAGTGTGCAGGCTGTTTTCATGTGTTGTGTATATTGTGCTAATGTGTAAACAGTTCCTTGAGAAAAGGAAAAAAAAAAACGTAAATTGTGGTGAATTTTGAGATTTCGTGATGTACATAATTGTAATTAAATTGAATTGTGGTGGAATTTGAGATTACATGATTCACTGTATTGTTTCCCAATGATTTTTAATATAATTGGGTTGTTGTGAAGTTTGGTATTTCATAATGCACTGAATGATACCCTAAAGGATCATAGTTAAACTGAATCATTGAGATTTCATGATGCTCTGAATCATATTGATGAGTCGAAATATGAGATTTTAGAAGGCACAGCTTGTGTTGAATCATGGTAGAATTTAAGATTCTGTGATGCACATAATTGTATCCTAAAGAATCAAAATCTTATTGAATCATGGTGGAATTTCAGATTACATGATTCACAGATTCATTTTCAATTAATTTTAATATAATTGAGTTGTTGTAAAGTTTAGTATTTCGTAATGCGCTCAATGATATCCTAAAGAATCATGGTTAAACCGAATCACCTGAGATTTCATGTTACAGTGAATCCTAAAGAATTGCATGCGAGCTGAATCATTGAGATTTCCTGAGGCGCTGAATCATTTTTTTAAAGAATCAGAGTGAATTGAATCTGGATTAAATATGACATTTTAGCATGCACAGCTTGTCTCAAAGATTCTGTGATGCCGTTTTTAGAGTCCTCTATCTGTTAGTTAGAGTCTCTCGCTTGTAAGCAGTGTCTGGTTTCACTCGTTCATAGATTCCCAGTGGTGAAAGACTGAGCGCCAGAATGTTTGGCCCTGGTGTGTTGGCCAGTGCTGTGGCCAGGCCTGCTGAGGACAAGTCCTGGGCCTGGCCCCAGTGTAAGCCAGCCAGCAGGTTTTTCCGCGCTGGCTCAGTGAAAGCGATAGTGTCAGGAGGAACGTGACTTTGGGCAAGAGAGGAGGAAATGATAGAGGTGTGTGTGGCAGAGCACGACTCTCTGTCAACCCTGCCATGCTCCAGATGGGCCAGGGGTCAAAGGGCCGGACGGCTCACTTTAGGAGGGTTTCTGCAGGCCTTTGGGTCAGTAGCCAGGTTTCCATCCAGCTGTCAAATTTAATTCAAATGAATAACTGAAATATAGCAAAACAATTTTACGAATAATACTATAATTCTGTCAGCTCAGTCACATCCCTCAAAACAGTCTACAGAGAAATCTTTAACGTTAAGCAGCTTCTTGTTGCCATTTTGTTTAATTTTATGGCTGTATTTTACTATAAGAGCACAGAGAGAGAGAGAAAGCACCTTCATTAATCAGCTTCAGCACCTGGAGTCTATTTAATCTCACGTCACTCATTATGTTTTGTGCCTTTATCAAAGAAGATAAAGGCACATTAAAGTTTCGTTCTTAGTCCAGTGGTACATTCAGTGCTGTATATACTATGAAAAACTATGAATAGCATATTCCGGAATATATTTAGCATATTCCGTTGCACTAAATACAATAAAACAGGACTAATTTTGTTGTTCCTGTGATGAAACATGCAGTCAGTCAGGGTGTGTGTGTGTGTATGTATGTATGTATATATATATATATATATATATATATATACATATATATATATATATGTATATGTATGTGTGTGTGTGTGTGTGTGTGTGTATATAAAATCTTTTTCTTCTTTCTTTCCTTTTTTCACTTATTAATTCCAGCCTAATGTCTCTCTTTTTCCCAAAGCTTTAGAGAGTACAGTAAGTTTTTAGGAGCAGCTACTTTTTGCTCGCTCATTGCTGGAAATAGGTTTTGCATATTTCATGCCTTTCTCTGATGTCTAATATTCGCAGGTCGTAAATGCCTTCGGAGCGATGTGACTTTCAGTACTCTTTTCAGACGCACCGTGCTTTTCTCTGCGAGTGTAAGTGTGTGGGCTGTATTGAAACAGGCTGGCTGAAACCTGGCTGTTCATTAACAGGCAGCGTTCTGCCCTGTCTGCCCACAGCTGAACAGATTCTTTCTCTCGGCACACTCGCTCAATGACCCGCTCTCCAGAGAAGCGATTTCCACCGCGCTGTCTATCAGGAGTAAATTGATGTGATTTGCTATGGGCCACGTTTTGTTATTGAAGGCTGATTCAAAGTGCTTAGTGTTTTGGGCTTTTTGACAGAAAAGTGCTCTCTTTTATTCGGGGCCAGAGCAGCCTATGATTTCATACTGGTTTGGTGTAAATAGGCGCAGCTCTTGCTGGCAGCGTAGCGCATTCCCTGAGATACAGAGACACAGGAGAAGAGAAAACAGCCCGAGAGGAACAATGTGTCTGGAGAAAACAACGCTGGTCACAATTGATTAGCGATGCTGTCTCGGCTTTGTCGAAGCTGTTGTGCTTTGCTGAGAAATCTCAGTAACAGGCATCTGATTGAATGTGAGATTAATTTGTACAGCAGGAGATGATGTTTGATCTTTATTTTCCCCCTTCTGTTTTTCCTGCAAGGAGAATGTTTGGCACAAATCGCTCAGGGGCTGAGAGGATTGATCGTCGGTGAAATGATGAAATGTAACTGAAATGTGTGCATGTGAATGTTTATGTACATTTTCAGGACTGAAAATGATTAATCAAACTTTTGTCTTGATGGAGTGCCAGTGTCTTATCGCAGTTTTTGCAGTGAGCATTTTTCTTACCGTCAGATTTGAGTAAAATAATCGTTAAAATAATCAATATCATTAAATATAAAAAATATCCACTGTGTTTCACTGTTATACAAGACTATTTGCAGTTAGCAGAGCCCTGCACTGACACCTTTACCAAGAGCTGCCATGCTTCTGCGTGGAACACGCTACTAACACCTGTAATATACCGCAATAAAAAAGGCTTATCTTCTCCTTTAGTATATTGTCATAATGAACGTCTCAGTCCATTATATACCAGTGCTTGATGTGGAAACCTTTGCTTTATTAATGGCCTTTATTAAATAAAAGCCCACCACAAAATCCACTACAAATATGTTAATTTCTGTTAGCACAGAATATATTAGCATGAAACTGAAGGTTTTCCCCCATAACATTGGGTTCAAAACTACACGGCACACAGTAGAACTGAAGCTTGTTACAATATTCTGATACTTTATATTTTGCAGCTTTACAGTGAATCTTAACTCTGAATATTACTTGCTTAACCTGTTAGCCCGTTAGCAGTCTGTGAAGCTGCTTGTTAAACAAAACCGGGTTCTTAAATGAGGTTAAGGTTAGTATGTTTTTGAGCCTTTTACTTCATACATGCATAGTTTATGACTGCAAACATACATGTATTCATGAGAGAGCATTTGCTGTGGATGAGTGGGTTATCAATAGTTACTATGCGTGTTTAATACCGCGCTATACCAAACGCTGTAGTATGTGTGTATGCGTATGGCTCTCCTGCACTTATGCACGGTGTGAGTATTGAAATGTATGATGGACCTTGCTCCGATCCCTTGACTGGGGTTCCATTCAGCACCCTGTGTTGTCTCACAAGCAGGATCACAGCAAGAGAACATTGCCCAAACAACATAGGTTCACGATCTAAAAAGAAAAAAGCAGAAAAGAGCCAGAGAGCAAGTCTTGTCGGCAATGTGATGCAGCCTTTTGTACTTTATCAGTTGTCAGCTGCTGCAGAGGTTTTGGCAGCGCGTATTGGAGAACTTAATTACATCTTAGAGTCACAACATGAATCAAAAGTCAGCAGTTACGGGGTGGACAGCAGCTGGCAGGTGCTGCTCTGAAGCCGAATGAAGGGAATCCACAGCCCTAGAGAAGCTAGCCATGCTTTAACATTGGCCTAGCTTCACTCCAGTGCCGTTTGGATAACAATTAGACCGAGCAGGTCTGCGTGGAGGAAGTGCGGGCACAGACTGATCCAGATTGACCGAATTAGTCACGGCAACAATAAGGGCCAGAGTGGAGTTTTACCATTACAAGAGCAAATCCTCCGAGAGGAATTTATAGCTCCAGGCAACGTTATTTGAGACCTGCTGCTAAGCGGGGATTTACAGAAAACAGTGTTTTTATAATGTGGCCACAAAAGCAGGCTGAATGTGAGGGAGCGTGTTTAATCCGTGTTGTCTGTGCGCTCCCTCTGTCTCTCTCTCTTACATTCTCTCTCTCTCTCTCTCTCTCTCTCTCTCTCTCTCTCTCTCTCTCTCTCACATTCTCTCTCTCTCTCACATTCTCTCTCTCACTCTCTTATTCTCTCTCTCTCATTTTTTTTCTCTCTCTCTCTCTCACATTCTCTCTCTCTCTTACATGCTCTCTCTCTCTCTCTCTCTCTCTCTGTCTCTCGCACACACTCGCACTCATGCTCTCTCTCTCTCTCTCTCTCTCTGTCTCTCGCACACACTCGCACTCATGCTCTCTCTCTTTCTCTGTCTTTCTCACTCTCTCACACTCTCTCACACTCTCTCTGCTTTATTGACATGAATCCTGGAGGATATATTTTAACCATGAAGAACTGTAAAGATAAATAATAATGTTTAAAATGAGCCTAAAAAGGAGAAAAAAAAAACAGAACAATAGAAAATGTTATTTGCAAGTTTATCATTTGACAACTTTTCTCTCTCTCACTCCCTCTTTCAGACCCAGACTGCAAGCACAGCGAAAGTTTGCCCAGTCTCAGCCGAACTCTCCCAGCAGCACTCCAGTGAAGTTGAGTGACCCCTCACTGCCCACACCAGCCACACAGATTACTGACCTCTCTAGACGAAAGCCCAAGACTGAGGACTTCCTCACGTTCCTGTGCCTCCGAGGTAAGGCAGCACTCATTCCTTCATCCCTCCATCCCTCCCGATGCTCACTGCCTTTCTTAAGTGGGCCGGAGTGCAGAGATGGGTGTGGCTATTCAAACATCAGCATCTGAACTGATGTGCATTTACTTACTCTGGAATTCAAATAAGATGACTGCAGTTTGTAATAAAATAGTAGCTATAGTTTAATATCTTGTGTTTTGAAGTTCTTGATTGAGCATGGGGTGTAGAACTGCAGGGAATGCTGGGATACGAGCAGATGATAGGACATGCTTCCTTAACTAAAGTGGCGGTGTAATGTTCCATATACAGTACTGTGCAAAATTTAGAGACTGCCCCTCAAGTATTTTGCATGATTTAGAGTAATTTATAGACACATCACCCATTAAGTCCATGTTATTAACATTTCAGGAGACATTTTCGATTAGATTAGATAAGCTTGCATGAGGAAGAGGAAAGACAAAGGAAAGTAAGTGAAGGAAATTAGGAGTTTCTAAAAATGGACTTCATACAATTGTGCATTCTTTATGCCCTCTCAGAAAAGAACTGGGGTGGTACCCGTCTTGTCATATGGGTGGTACCCTCAAAGGTACATCTTTAGTATCTTTAGTTAAACAACATAATTGTACCATGAACTTTGGAGGTGTAGAGAAAACAATCCCCGTAGATTTCTTTGAAAAAAATGAAAACAAGTCTTCTGAAAACAATGGAAGCTGTAATAAAGGCTAAAGGTGGGTACACTGAATGCTGAAAAAAGCCTGGAGTAGTTGTTGTTGCTTCTGTGTCATTTTCTGTTAAATAGATGTTTTATGCTATTTTTCCTGGCACTGAAAAATAGATAACCTGTACTTAATGGCCAGATTGGGAATTAAATTAATGAGGGATGGTCTTTGTCATAATAATTTTCTCTAGTTTTACTGTAACGTCAGGACGCTTGTGTCCTGAAAATAGACACACACCCGCATGCACACAAACACACACACACACACACACACATTCTTTTTAAAAGAACGCCTCCTTCCATTTTGCAATTTTCCTGTGCATGAGCACAGCCCATATGAAAATGGCATTAACACTGCATGAGCTGGGGCAGTGAAAACATAGACTCACACACACACACACCCAGAGCCCTGATCTCAGCAAGAGAGTATCATCTATAAATAATCGTGCCACAGGGCTGTATCAGTGGTCAGCAGGGTGCAGCCCAGCTCTCTGGGGGCTGAGTGGAAAAAGCCGCTGGAGAGTGCCAGAGAGCTGGAGCTGGAGTGTATCCTCCCACACTTTAGCCTGGACTCTATTATAGAGCACTGAACGCCCCGACACGCCACACTGCAGGCTGAGCCCTTTCTGCCTCCTCCACTAGCAGAGCTAGCTGACCAGTAAATGACTGTAGATGAAGCATTAGTGCTGGGGCATGCAATTATTTAAAAAAAAATCAATGCATTGGAACATAATTATTGATAAATATTAATATTTATTTATTTATTTATTATTGGAAACCAGAGGCATTGTGCAGTCTGGCAGCCAATGTGTAGCAACAAAACTAAAATTTGAGATTTTAGCTGTCCACTCAGTTATTGTCTAAAATAAAACATTTCAGCAGTAACCACCACCATATAAGACTCTTATTTGAAACCATAATAAAATAAATTAGCTTGATTTCACCGTTGTTATCAATAATTGTCGATTGATAAGTGGTCCTGGTTTTATAAAATATAGATCAGTTTAAATGACTGGGCCAGCCTCCTTCATTTGTCTTTGCATTATGAAGATGCATCCGATACAAAAGGAAGCTGCCAAATGACCCTTTGTCACTTTTATGGCTCAATGATAAACTGCAGTGAGTGTGCAGGGATGGACCGGGCTCTGTCTGTGCGTAATGCCTCTCAAGGGTGTCGGTGCACTTCTTTCCTCTGCGTCTCCAGAGCGGCTTCTTAATCCACTTTAAAGAGCCAGTCTAGGTTAATGCTAATGCCGAACTCAGCTAATGGACATATTTATATTTGTCTTCTTAAAGGCTGTGCTTGCAGTTTGCTTTTCTTAAACTTTCAGAGATTATAGTGTGACCAGACAGACAGACAGCAATTAAATCTAATGCCATGACAGTAAAGTCATGCATGGTTTGTCCATTCCTGAAGCACGAGAGAGGATTCTGCTACTGTTTTTGTGGAATTGAATACAAGAGCTAAATGAGATGCAGTAAGTTGGTCTCTGGACTCTGGATAAAAATCACTAATTCCTTACACATCTCTGCGTTTAAAGACTGAGGGGCAATGTTTTATGTGCTTCAAATGGAAGTCTTAATAACCATAAAGCCAGAGCTTTTAAAATGAGCCCCAAACCAATTCCTTTCTAATCTAATTCCTTTGCACAGTTTGGTTAAAGTTGATATGTAATGAAAACCTGGAGGCAAACTGAGCTTCCAGGAATTGAGCTATTCCTCTTCAGTCATAGTCTAGTGGCAGAACTTCAAGCCTCCCTGCTATGCTAAAGCCTTCCTACATCACTGAAGCTCTAGTAAAAATATTTACATTCGTCACTATAGGATTCCTGTGCGCTGCTCTTGGAATTCCCTACTGGCAAAACTTAGTGTATGTGTGTGCATGAGTAAGTGATGTGATGAGTGAGTCCCATCTGAGCTCCTACAGTTCCTCTGGTCAGCTCTAGACCTGTGTGCTGTTTGCTTTGGCTACAGAGTGTAATGCATGGGCCCAGGGGTCTGAAAGGTGAGTTTTTAGGCGAAGCTTTTTGTCGATGAAGAGTAAGTGCATGTCATTGTACATTTTCATGACAAAATGTCCTGACCTTGTAGGAAAACCAGAGAAAAAAAAAAAAACATCATTGTCATTTAAAAGCCATTTGTCTCCAGCTGTAAAGGCAGCTGTCTTTTACATTGACAAGAGTGAACCAAGATAAATGATACAAAATTGCTAGGAATAAAATCGTGTTGCATTAACTTACATTTAAGCATTTTTAAGCATTTAAGGATCTGTGAGGACAGCGACAGTGTATTATATATTGTTGCTATATATAATATACAATGGACAAATATATAAAACTTCTGTTATTATAATTGCGTATTTAGCAGGATGCAACTACACCGACACCTGTTTGACCATTTCCAAACATGAGACATATTACATTTAGGTACGTATTATTCACTCGAATTGGCTGTCTGTTCCAGTAGCTCTGTGTCTGCGTCCTCTGTTTTTTTGAAAATAGTATATACATATACATACATGCACACACGCACACACGCACACACACACACACACACACACACACACACACACACACACACACACACACACTAGGGGTGTAAAAATGCATCATGACATTCTATTTCCTGATAAAAATTCTGTTATTACAATTGCATAATTAATAGAATGCAGTTGTACTGATGGACACCCAGAGTTTGCAATCAACATCTCACTGCTGCACTCCTGCTGCCACCCAGCTGCAGTGTCATTAGTAAGTTGTGCAACGACATCGTTTTTCTTCTGTCAAGTTTGTTCAAAATGTTCTGAAAATACTGAACTGTGAGTGTAGTATCATGAGCCAAATCAAGTTATGGGCTGTGTGTATCGTCATATTCCTGTGTAAAACATACGGGACATATTACATACGTGCACTTAGATATAATTAATTCTTATGGAACCTAATCTGATCACATATAGGTACCTGCATATATATAACATACACGACTCTGACCCCATGTCCTGACAAGGTAAAAAAAAACTAGTATTTGTTTGTTTTAGGCCATGTTTTACGTCTTGTATCATCCTTCAAAGAATTTGGACCGTTTTTTTAGCTACCAAGGAGTATTTTTGCTTCTCCTTCTTGTTTTTATCTACAGAGGCTTTTTGGGAGGTTGTGTTCATGCGTGTGGGTGGATGGCAGGGTTTCTGAACACTTCAGCGCTGATCTCTCAGAGCGCTGGCTGTTGATCTTTCAGAGAAAGAGAGTGTGGAAGAAGTGGGTAAATATTTTTCCTCTCTCTGAAAAAGATCAATGCCATTCTGGGCAAAGGCACTGAAGGTCAAACGGTCATTTGTTCAACAGCACCGTTGTGGCTGACGTCCAGCGAAAAGGTTTATCTTATCGGACAAACATAAAGAACGTAGGACGGCCACTCGGTGTGTCAGAGCCATAGGCAGCGCTAACATTAATGATTGATGATGTTTTTTCTAACGAATAGTCAGAAAAAGTTCAGAACAAAACCGAAGAGAAGTTTTCTCCCCTTTGTTCTCGCGTCTGATGCGTTTACTCTACAGGGATGGCAACAGTGTAATGAGCTGTATTTTTATTTCTTTAACATGATATTTTTAATCTCTCTTGGGAGGGATTCGTTTTCTGATGCAATGTAACGTAATGTGAGCCACACACAGCAGGAATTCCTCTGCACTGTTCCGCGCTGCTCTGTTTACGCGCGACATACCACTTTAAATCCAGGCTCTGATGGGTGTTTATATCCATGGAGAAATCCGTTTGGACGTGCTCCAGCGTGTGTGTGCGTGTGTGTACACGCTCTCTCTGAGTGAAATATAATACACAGTCTCCCAGCGTGGAGGAGACATGGAAACCAAAGCATACAAGAGGTCATTGTTGGCAGCGTCTGCAGTACAGTATCTTTTGATTCTGCTTTATCTCTGCCCACACACACATACAAAGAGCAGAAATGAGCAGATAAGGTGAGATAAGGTAGTAAATGAGTAAACAGCACTAACTCCTATGTTACATAACCAGCAACTGTAGCATAATGCATGTATGAGTGTACGTGTTTTCATGCGTTTTGCGGGGCAGAATGGTCCTGTCTTTTTGCAAAAGTTGTGTTTCAGTTTTTAAAAGCTGAAAGCCATTTCGTTTTGGTCTCTGAGTTTGAGGATAGGGTTACAGTTAGAAAATTCTTATTACAGACAAAGCCCCATTCCAAAGAAGTTGTGACAGTAGGTACGATGCAAATAAAAAGAGAAAGCAGTGCTTTATAAATCCACTTTGATCTG